AAAAAAAAACCGTTACGTCGCACACGGGGCCCGGGGGGCCCGCGGCCGCGCTGCCGCGGCCCTTCAGCGCCATCATTGCACCAAGTGCCAGGTACTTTGGCGTGCTACCGGTTATTCACGCCGGGCCCCGGGGCCCGCACCGGCGCAATGGGCATGCTACAACTTGAAGGCTACGAGCATGACAATTGGCAGCTGCTGATGAATCTGCGGAAGCAGGGGTTCTGGCGGGGCGCCAAACGGGGCGCAGAGCGCCCCGGGGCAAATACTGGCGCCCCCGGGCGGAAGCCCGGGGCGCCAGAGCGCCCTGGGCCGCAGGTCCCGCCTACTTTTGGAAAGTTAGATCCAGGCCGCCTCAACCGGGAACTCTGAAATGATCTCTTAAAGTACAGATTATCAGAGCATTGCCTGCAGATATAATCAGGACTTAAAGAAGCCCTTATAGTTCCACGATTTGGGGATAAGCACTCACAATTGACTGAAAACGCGACGGATTCCAAGTCGAGCCCTCTACACATACAGGTAGCCGAGTCTCATACTTTAACCATTCGTCTGCAAAACATTGCTTCAATAAGAGCAATTGTTCCGGTAGTAGGTACGATACTTGCTTTGGATAGGGGGGCACGTATTTATTTGACTTTGTGCCCACTGCCGACTGCTTGTACCGTAGACAAAAGCCCAGGACCGGTATGCACGAATTCGGCTCGGTTAAACACAGCTTTCGACGGAATACCCATTGCACCGGGCGCTGGCGCCGGGGCTTGGGCGCCCCAGGGAGGCTGGTCCGCGCCCCGGGGCGAAGCCCAGGGGCGCCACAGCACCTCCGGGCAAAATCCTGCTAGAACCCCTGTGCGGAACAAGATGTCGATATTCATCCTCGGTACTGGGAACTTCCGGACTTCGAGGTACGGTACGGTAGTAGGCACGATTGCAGTGTGCACTGTGCAGACCTGGGGCCAGGCGCCGCCAGCCTGAGGCCCAGGCCCAGGGGCCAGGGGCCAGGGGCTACTGCAGGGCCTACTACGGTACTACCTACCTAGACTAGACTAGGCGTTAAGCACGTGGGCCCGCCGGGACTGGACTCCCGGAGCAGGCGCCGGCGGCCTGACGAGGAAGTTGTTTGCGCAAACAGCCCGGCCAAACTTCCGGTATCAAATGGCAGCACAGACTCAAACAGACTCGATCACTGCTAAAACTTGTAAAAGGGAGTGCCTACTACCTAGAGCCTAGTTTTACGGCATGACGTCAAAAGTACCGTATTAAATTGGTGGTCAACCTGCCAAAAGTCTCCCGGCCAGGCAGAAATTGAAACCCAACTTGAACAGCTAGCTGACCAAAGAACAGCTGCCACACAGTGCTCACTGCTGAATCCTGATTCTTTCACAGGGTGGTGCATGAGGACGAGATGACAAGAGGCCTTGAGAACAAGGCGGCCTTTCCGACGGCCTGCAGCAACTTGCAGCTTGCAATGTGTTGAAGCTTGTGGTCCTGTACTTTAGGTAGTAGCCTGAGCTGACTCTCTAAAGCGAGGACTTGGAAGCTTGGAATTCTTATTATACGGACCGCTGTAAATTATCGCCTGGTAGCCCCTCGCATTTGAGACCGTTCATGGGGCGTGCACCCCAAGCCTCTGGACCACTTAGGCCCTGCTAGATTCAGGACCTGCTTGCCGAACACCGTCAAGTCGGAATAGGGGGGCAGAGGCCGGCGCGTTGGTGACTCTTGAAAGGGCTTACGCTTGTTCTTAACGTGCTGGAATATGCTGTTCTGACCTTGGATGGAGCTGGCCTGCAATGTTGCGCTCTGCATTGGTGCCAAGACTGGGGAAGGATATGGCCGGCGACCAGAAAGTCCAGCTGGTTTGAACATGCAGAAGTTGCCCGCTTGGTCCCCTCTTTTAGGGGGAACCCTCTTGGAAGCCCACTTCCTAAGAGTCCAACTAAGACCTGTCATGCAGCGACATCGGGGGGAAATTGCACAGCTTGCTTCAGCTGTCTAGCTGATACTCTTTCCGACCCCCCCGTTCCACTGTTTCTGTCCTGGGGTCATACCTTCTTCGGGCCTTTGGCAGAATTTCACAATGATTAATATTACTAGCACTCTTCAGTGATCTATTACAAAAAGATCACTTGCAAGTGGCAGGACAGGCACATGTCAGCTCTATGCGCATTTCACATGCGGGCATACCATTGGTGGTTGGCGTCATGCTAGCTCTTCTTGAGGACTCCTGTATGTCTCACCCTCTGTTTGATTGGTCCGACTCCTGCTTCTCTTGGCCAAAAGCATTTTCCTATCAAAATTTGACTTTGGAATCTAAGCTCATTGAGTTTGATAGTTGCCCGTATCATGCGGAGCCCTCGCTTGGAGGGACTTGTAGCTAGTCGGGACTGAGCTGTTTTGAAAACCTGGATGTGATGATAATTGCATTACAAATTATTCTTTGATTGTCTTGCTAGCCACCGTTTAAGCATGGATGGTGGTCATTGACACTTTCATGTGTTTGTCTGCAGGCGTGCGGCTCAACATGGCCTTTACCGGCAAGGAGTTTCTTCTTTTCCTCGTCTCCGGGTGGGTATGGATGTGTATAGTGCGGTGTGTGACCATCGATGAGATCAGCATGCTGGTGGGAGGAGGCCTTTCAGAGCGTTCCACCATCGGTCTAAGTGGTATGGGGTTTACCGGGCCCATTCCTTCTGAATTAGGGCTCTTAACAAACCTCACTGCCCTCGATCTTTCCAACAACCACTTGACCGGCTCGATCCCTCCCCTGCTTGGCCAGCTTGTCAATCTCAAAGTCCTCGACCTTCACAACAATAGCCTCTCTGGAGCCATCCCAATCGAGCTTGGCCAACTCGAGAGCCTAGAAAACCTGGACCTCTCTTACAACGGTCTCTCCAGCCCCATCCCTCCTAAGCTTGGCCAGCTTGCCCAGCTGAATAGACTCTCCCTTGACAATAATCGTCTTTGGGGTGTCATGCCTCCCGAGCTTGGCCAGCTCACAGGCCTTGAACACCTCTACCTGTACAACAACCACCTCTCCGGTGCAACTCCTGCTCCGCTGGGGAAATTGTCCAGACTCAGATACCTTTATCTCCAAGACAACAACTTTCACGGCCTGATTCCCCCCGAGCTTGGCAACCTCGCAAACCTTGATTACCTTGTCCTCAAGAACAATAGTCTTTCTGGCACAATCCCTTCTGAGCTCGGCAATATGTCGAGTCTCCGCCACCTCTACCTCTACAACAATAACCTTACGGGTGCCATTCCCCCCGAGCTTGGCCAACTTACAAGCCTCCAAACCTTCGATATCTCCACCAACGGTCTTTCAGACGTCCTCCCGGCCAAGCTCGGCCAGCTTGTTAGCCTCACCGACTTTTGGCTCCACGACAACAAGTTTTTCTTCACCCTGCCCCCTGAATTTAGCCAAATGGGAAACCTCACCGTCCTCTGGCTGTCCTTTAACAATCTATCCGGCAACATTCCTTCCCAGCTAGGCAACCTTGCTAAGTTAAAAGACCTGTACCTTGACAACAACAGCTTCTCAGGCAGTATTCCCCACGAACTCGGCCAACTTACGAGCCTCGAAACCCTTACCCTTAACGGCAACGACCTTTCTGGTCCCATTCCTTCCGAGCTCGGCAGTCTGACTGGCCTCCTAGACCTCGACTTGTCCTCTACCATGACATCGTGCGAAAGGGTCAACCTGTCTCGCTTTCAGCAGCTCAGGTCGCTGGGACTTCCCTGCCAGCCGCCCCGTTCTGCAAAGCAGACCAATATCTACCTCCTCCAGCTGGGCTTAGGCGATCAAACCACGGAGGCTTTGGATCTTTCTTCGTTGCCTAGCTCCTGCAAGATTGTCAATCTGACGGACCCAAACCCGCGTCTCAAGCGCATCCGTTTCTGGGATGCGTGCAACACGGGCTGCGTTGTGAGCTTGCGGGGCACGGGGGCCAGGTTATTGCGTAGCACAAGGCGTCATATCTGCCTGCACAAGATCTCCGTATTCTTGGACGGGGACCTTCCCGAACCCGTTTATGATGACAATCAGCGTTTCACAAACGCTCTGAAGAACAACAAGGGGACCTATGATTTGACGGATCCCAACTTCGTGGACTACATCGATCTGGGCCCGGACGGGAGAGCGTATACCGGGGTGGGTTTCACGCGGGTTCAGGCGGGCAACCTGTGCGGTAACCCCGAAGCCAAGAGGGTCGCTGCAATCGTCTTCGGGTCGTTTGCAGTCGGTTTGCTGCTGGCGACGCGCGCCATTATTTTGGTGGCACGATGGCGGCGTCAGAAGCGGCCAAACGGCGATCTTCAAGAGGAGCAAGACTCTCGCAGGTAGGTTGAATGTGCTTCCACTTTATACTGATGACGCTTACGTAACCCGACGGACGCGTGCCAGGTCAGTGATATACGAGTGAGATACGAGCTACCCAGGCACTTCAGCTAGATCCTCAACCAAAATGTTCACGCGCTTGGCACCTAACTCCATCTCAATCAGCCAGCTCACCCCACCTTCTCGCGGGTGCCTGTCTCAATTCACAGGCCTGTCGACGAGTCGAGACTGGTGAGAGCGCGTTTTGTGTTGGGTATGGCCTCCAAAACGGCCCAGCGTTTCAGCTGAGGGTCTGTCAGCTTAAGCAGCAGCTTGCAGGGAGGCCGGCATTCGCACACCCTGGCTTGTTCAACCATAGGATGCTCAAAGCATCAGCCGCGTTTGGTGGACACTGGCTGAAGTCGCAAGATTGTTCGGAGGCCTTCCAAAATGTGTCCTATCTAGTCCTCGTAGGTCTGGATTAGACACTGCAAGCTGGGTGAAGGGTGAAAGCAAAGCGGCTTTTCAGAGCATCAGCTTGCCAGAGTCGGTCCCTTGATCTGGGTCTTTCACTACCGTAGTAGATGCCTTGGCGCTTGCAATCCCTTAAAGGACGGGGCAGTAGGACTTTGCGTTCGTAAGGTCCCGGGTACTGTGCAATCCATCTGGAGACGTCACTAAGACTACCCACTACTGGCTTGGTCTGGCAAGTCCTCGAACGGAAGCTTGCTGTTGACCTTTAGGGAACACCTGCTGCTGACTGAGGCGTGTAGTGGCTGCTTACTAAAGGACTGCCCGACCTTGACCTTTTTAGAACGAACCTCATTGCTGTCAGCGAAACGTCCTGTAAATGTTGTCATTCCGAATTGCAGCTGGAAATATGCCGGACTCTACGTTTGGGGAGCGGCATTGGGCGTACTGCCTGTCGTCGATCTAGTCACGGACCTCTTCGTTTTGAAAGAGGTGGTGGGGGCGTGGCCGATGTGGGTGGTTTTGGCGTCCATATGCGCGCCCTTCATCGTTGGGGCATATGCAGTCACCTTGACTTGGACTTCCATAACGCGTCCGGCGCTTAGATGGAGCGGAATGCGCTTCATATGGCTCTGGCCTCCGCCCTCGGAGTTTTCTCCAGATAGTCACCCGGCTAGGAATGCGAGGGCCCCGCACCGTTGGCTTCTTGCCCTTGTGCTACTGCCCTTCGGCGTAGTAGGCGTGCTTGTCCAGGACGTGCTTGCTGTCGTGGGAAAGTTTGGGTTTCACCTCGCTTGGGGGGAGGAAGTTGTCAGCTTTGAGCGGTATCACGACGCTCGGGTGTCCGTTGAGATGCTGCTCGAGGCTCTCCCTCAAGTGGTGTTCCAGACCGGGTTGTATGTCGTGGGAAGTTCAAGGGCAACGAGAATCTACATCGACGAGCAGATCTTTGTTCAGTCCATCGTGGTGTCATTAACGAGCCTATCGGCACAGTATTGCAATGTGCTGTGGGAAGCAGTTTATGAGGGTGAGTCGTTAGTGGGTGTGCTCGTGGGACGCTTCCAAAAGATTGCTGGCCAGCCTTTCCTCTTTACTAGGGCAGCGTTAGATAGGAGTGAGGACGAGGGAATCCTTAGAGATGCGGGTGTGGAGAACCCCGTCAGGTCCGCTTATACCTTTTAGCGCTTAAAGAGGTTACTGATCTACTGATCATGAATGTAACTCTTGTATGTCGGTGGCTGTGTATTTTAGTAATAACGTGAGAATTACAAGAGTGTGCTCCCCATACTGCCCGATCCGGGTCCCGGTGCGTCCTTCCGCGAATGGGTAAATACTTTTTTCGAGCTCTCTGAAGTTTAGCTCCGTCTGGACTCTGGGAAGGCGCAACGGGCCAGAGGCTCCGATTACTTTTGCAATCATGCCAATCACTCGAGCTTGAGCACTGAAGGATGACTAGTGACCGTCACCGTCGGACTCGAAGGACGACCAATCTCCTACCGTACATTTCAGGACGGCTAGAGTGCAGTGCAACCTTTAACGAGGGATCCAACAACGTCCAGTCAAGATTCAATGATGTACATATGTGGGTTCCCATACATGTAACCCTATAATCAACTTACACGAAATCCTAACTGTATCGTACAAACGTCCAGGCACGTGTGCCAATCATGCACAGATCTTGGAAGTTGTGTTAGCGCCATGAGGCAATCACCTGGGTGGACTGGTGCGGAGTCGAGGGGAGCTAAACTTTGCAGGTTTGGTTGAAGCAGTCACCGATATCATACGAACCATCGCTACTGTGCAACCTTGACGTGAATGATGTATCAAGATCGGACTGAGATTATCAGCTTGACCTTAATTCGAAATAGCAGTACGTGCGAAGCGCAATATAGAATGATTGACTCATGCAGTAAAAGCAGGTGCATCATGCTACGGAATGCATGAATGGTACTATAACTGATCATTGGGTATGGACCGTCGGAGGCCAAGATGAATGAATGACTTAAGCAAGGCGAATGCATGAATAAAGCGAGCCTGGGGATTGAATGCAATGATGCATGAAGCCGACAAGGTATTAAGTACAAAAATCCTACTTGAAGCATTCAAAGCTATATTGTGCATGCATGGCCGGGTCCAACTTCAGTCTCACAGTCCGAGAAGCCGCGGCCCTGGCATGATACTAGCTCGATCGAAAATGTTTGAGAAAACCAGTGTCGTCGATTGAAAATAACTTCACTGATAACACAACTGAACTGGTGTGAAGGTCCGGTGAGTCATGTGCTTGTTTGCTAACCCTCGAAAGCTGGCAGGATTGCCAAACAAAGAACGTCCTTTAAGGTCCAACAAGACTTTACGGCGTTCGTGTCCTACCTGAGATTGTTCCATCTTTCAATGTCAATCAGACGAGGTGCAGACGTCTAGTCCGCTGACTCAGTGAGGACTTCGTAACTCAGCACGCTAAAGTTGGGCTTACGGACGGTTTCCTATGTCAACAACAACCTTCCGCCAGATAACTTGGCACTAAGGCTGATGACCTGATGCATGATAGTGCCAAGAAGACTGCCTCATTTTGTCAAGCTGTGTGCCATCATCTACACACGTCAATCTAACAAGGATAGTGCCAACCGCTGCTACAACGTTCTCTTCACCAAGCCATACTTTCAAGCATAGCCTATGCGAACGGCCCGGCCTGAGATCTCTCATCTTCTAAGAGAACCAGACCAACTTGACTGCCTACCTTTTCCTGGCCCACTTCAAATTATGGCCTTTCGAACCTGGCTGTTCCGGACTGTAATACTCCAACTCGCTGCTGTAATTCAGCCCGGGCGCCAAACCGGTGGAATCCACAGTGCTTACAGGAAACTGGCCTGGTCGCGTGGCCGTTGTGGCTCCGTACGACCCGATCCGGGCAGGAGGATCCTGCCAGCTGGTTGATCCAACGGACGGGGGCCCGAGTGAATTCACCGGGAGAAATCCAGCGGGAGGAACATGGGTGACGGCATTGGAGGCTGCGGAAGTCGGGGGGATCGTAGGGCCCCGCAGTGGGGCGAAGGCGGGGGAGCCCCATGAGTCAAGCCCCTCAGCGGCGGCCAGGCCGGCCCCAAGCGCAGGGGCACGTTCCTGTGCGAAGAGGGAGGAAGGAGGGATCGAAGCAGGCCGGGGTGGCTGTCCATTGACTTATTCATTGTTCAATTGTTTGTAAGAACATCTTTCAGCCGTGAAGAAGGGCGACCGGAACTTGGAATGATTGACGACGCCACCGAATCTGGTACGTGCAAGGATCAACCCCGCATTCTTTGCTAATGTCTCTTTCTTTACCCGAAAGCCAGACGAGAATGAAGTGCGTCTTGTGAACGTACCCTTGGATCGGGTTGATCATCCGGAAGGCTCATCCTGCTGTGAGCCCCCCGACTCCGCTCTGAACACGCCCAGACAAAAACCGAATGCGTGGATTACAGAGTGCCTCCGCTCAAAAGCCGTAGTATTAGCGAACTCTGGTAACAGTCCGGTACTGGTAAGATCCTCCAAGGCAGATTTTACAAAATCGTTTATATCTTGTGCACATTATGCTGTTGCAAACAGGTTGGAACACGCCAAAACAATGATCTCAGGGTCTCGTCTTTAAGCAAACCGACAGAGAAGATGCACATGGGGAGCGGGTAACTAGGGCGTGTGATAAGTGCATAGATCGGAGAGGGGCAAAGTCACGAGAGCGCGAACGAACTGTGGAGATTGAGCTCACAGCACCACGCACGGGGGCATCTGGAGAGCCCTCGTCTTTGCTCCACCCCCCGGTCCTGTTTGCCGACTGTTGCAAACGCCGCCGCCGGACCACAGAGGCAAACGACACAAAGAACAGGAGCCCGCCGATGCCGAAAATCGCGCCCGCCACAATTCCAGCGACGACCCCGACGCTCAGGGAACCTGAGTCACTTGAGCTGCTGCTTGGCGAAGCGTTGGGAGGAGTGCCGAGGCTGGGGCTGCCACTTACGGCCCCCACTTTAGGGGCTACGATGGGTACGCCACTTCCGGTTCCCATTGTGGCGGCTGCGACGGGCGCTGTGCAGTTGGCCGGGGGAGAAGGTCTCACTCCTACAAGAGCATAGGTTGGCATAGTATCAGCTAGGCGCAGAAAGGGCCAGGTGTGTTACCGAAACCCGTGCGTGGGGCTAGAAGGAAAGGGTCCAGCTTGGTTGGACACGTATCGGGACATGTCGGAATCCGAGGTTACCTGCAACCTGCCTTCAAATTACTTGGTCGACCCTGGTAAACAAAGAAGCAAAATACACAATTTAGCTTTGGTTCCTTTGACGGTAAGCTCCAATCCTGATCCTCGTCGGGACCCAATTTAGGGCTCGAGATTCAGCGCAACGCTGAGTTCACTGGTTCAATGATCATAACGAACTTGCGTAAGTCGACACATGCAACGGATGGCGTATAGTCCCAATTCTTTTACAGCACGCAGCAGCGAGCCACGTCGACCAGCCACGTACCGGGGGGCAGAATCTGGATCACCGAGTAGTCTCCAAACAGAGTCTGATTCAACCTCATCTGCTTGCTCACGAACAGCTCTGTGATTGCTGCTGTCTGATTGTTGGAGAGCTGCATCGGGGCAGGATCCGCTGGAGAGGCGATTGGCAGCAGCCAAGTCGTCACGATAAGGTCATGGACTTGTGATTGGAGCAATCGGCGGCCGCTGTGCAGAACCGAGCAGAAGCCTTGGACCTGGAGTCAGAAGCCGGGCAATTAGCAAGACTCCTAGTTCAAGTTTGAACAGATATAGTGCTTCTTGAAGCAAAGCCTGCCAGGCGCCTGCCAGGAGTTGTTAGTATTTGCTGATGTGGTAATCATATATATGAACCTGTGATGAGGTGGAAAGGGCCGGGGGTTCGAAACAGCGTGGATTCCACGAACACCGCTTTTAGTCGAGAAGCACCAATCGCCTTGTCTGGTAAAACGAACACTTTCACGGTCTTGAATGTGTAGAATGAATTTCAGCGGCTGAGCAGATCTTCCTAACCTCAAAGCTTAGTTCCTCAGAGTCCGAGATGCTGGAAACATCCATTCGATCGCCAAAATAAACCAGCGGCTGGAACTGAATCATGTAGTAGGAGCGACTTGCTACGTTTGAAATTACAGACGGTTCTATTTGATTCATGGCAAGAGCGACGTCAAGGATCGGGAAGTAAAGACCGTCAAGACAATCTCTACGGATGTTAGTGTTGGAACAATCGAGAAGCTTTACTCGATGACCCGGAAAAATGCTGAAGAAAACGACCCTCTTGCCCCTAACAACTCTGGCAGCATGGCTGCACAGGCAAAGCACACGGCTTTTTGAAACAGGACACGTCCGGAAACAACACGAGAAAGGCAGAACAGTCCCAGCTATCCAGCACTTGCGCAGCAGCCCGGTCGAACACGAGACCCAAACCTCCAACAGAGGATGCAAAGGTGCACAATGAGGGACGAGGCAAGCAAAGGCGTACCGAAACCTGAGCGGCGGTCAGGTTAAGGCCATCGGCGACCTCAAGGACGAACTCGGGAACGTTGGGCAAAAACTGCTGAGCGAATCGCCGGAAGGCCAGCTCCACAATCGTAGGCAGGACGCAGTCGCAGGTTAAGTCGGCCGGCCGCAGAGCGGTGCCCAGAGGGCAGGCGTTCGGACAGTCTGCGAAAGCAGGCGAAAAGTGACGATGCATCTGAGAAGGGTGATGTGTGCTGTCTGGTCTGTGCCGTTTCATCGATCTGACTCTGCACGGACTCTATTTATTTTGGAATCGTTCTGTTCACGAAATACGAGTTCAGTCAAATGCTTGGCAAGATGAGGACAAACTTTGAATAGCCATGCCTCGCCTAATTGAAAGAGTCGCACTTCAACTGAAGGGCTTGCATTGACTGGAATACAGGGCCGAGGCGAGCCCCTTGCTGAGCCCGAATTTTTGAGCCTCGTAGGCTGACCTTGAAGAGACAAGTCCTACACAAGCATTTAGCTCAGACGTCAACACTCCGACAGTTTTCCACCAGACCTCTCAGCAAGCAGAGGTAAGCAAGCGGGAAGAATGGGTATAGAAAAGGGGGGAACCGCAACCCACTTTTTCCGGAAGGAGGAGGGGAAGGGAAGGTGAGCGGCGGCGCTGCCAGCGCAAACGTCCCGTTCAGCTGAGAAAGGTTCTGGAAGGGCGTGAGCAAGGGGCTATTGCTTAGGTTGACGCCCAGTGGTGAACTACTGAGGGGCAAGCTTGTATTGACGGGCGCACTCGTGTTGAGGAGCCCGCTGATCCCTGTAGTGCGGCACTCAAGACTAGTTAGATATGAACCGATGAAAGCGTTAGGGAGAGTCGCATTGATGACAGGAATTCTTTAGTTGGGGTGCACGGGTGGGGGCGGCGCACCGAAGTGTCGGCGACGGATTGGTTAGTCCAGACCCTGATCTGCTTAGCCAGGTGGGTGAAAGGTCACCAGAAGTGGAGACAAGCGACTCCAATGTGCCTGGCTGCGTCACGGTTTCCGAAGCGGCAGAGGGCATCATCAGAGAGCTGGTCAAAGCCGTCCGTCCGTGCTGCTCAGCAGAACGGGCGCTCTAGCAGAGTCGAACTGAAAAGAAGACACCTGTGAGACCATTACGTCTTGCAGTATCAAGGAGGGCTCGTCGAAATAACGAGTGTGCCAAGGAGAGAAGGCCCAATAGTGGTTACCAAAGCTGCATTCAAAGAGGGGAAACACATCTGGTTTGGCCGTTTGTGAGAATTGTTGAAACTTGCGCTTTCTTTGCACTTTAGGCATGCAGCGCGGTACCTAGAAAGTGAGGATCTCCGGGATCTCAAAGAAATGGGAATAATGAGGTACCTGCCGGGGGGGCTTGTGGCGCCTGCGTTATCGCCGAGACTGGGATGGAGCTCGGCGAATCAAGAGCTAAAGTAACACCTTCGCGTGGCAGTGAGGAGCTTTAACATACCTGTTGCAAGGGGCCGCCGAAGCGTGCATTGGGGCGGGCTCGAAAAAACAGCGTAAAAGAGGGCGTGCGGCTCGGCAGACTCGGTATACTTCAAGCTGTACGAGTTGGCGGAGCTGAGGTGGAGGACGTACCTATAGGGGGGGGTCCTAGTGTAGCGCCTGCGATATAGCCGCCGCGAACTGAGGTGGGGCCTCGGTATATTAAGGGCCGACTTTAGACAACGGGTGAGAGCGGTGACATACCTGTTGCATTAATTGGATGGCCCGAGCGTCGTGGAAGCTAAAGTGGAAACGTAAAAGGTAGCAAAAAGGCTTGGTACTGGGCATTTTGGCAAAGTTATTGGGGCTAGGCGGAGCGGATGCGTCGAACTTTCTGTACTGCAAGAGGCGCCTGTGCTACTTCAAGGACTAGCGAGCGGAAAGGCGAACCAAGAGTTAGGAAATCAAAGGGAAAACGAGGGGAGAGTCGTGAAGTACCTGTTGCAATGGGTGGAGCGAGCATTTTACCTGGGGGTGACTACCGGTGCAAAAGTCACGGGTACGGCACTCGAAAAGAAGGGAAAAGGAGGAGCGGAAGTGAGCAGTGGGCATTTGCAACGTACCTGGAGGGACGGTAGCGAGTGTCGGAGCCAGCGACTGCGCTTGCGCAACAAGCGGAGTGGTGCTAATAGGAGTGCCAAACGGCGTTGTGGGGGGTGCTAACGTACCTGCTGGTGTGGGGGGGGGCGTGGCGGTGGCGGAACGGGGTGCAACAGTGGAAGCAACAATGGGTGCAACTGTGGGGGCGAGCGTTGGTATACCTGGGGTGGTGACCAGTGTCGCGGCGGGGGTGGGTGCCGACAGTAGAGGCGCAGCTGGCGTGGACGTTTTTGTGGGAGGGGAGGTGCTTGCGGCCGCTGTCGAGAGGGGCTGCGTTGGAACCGGTATGGCTACGTTTGTTGGGGCAGCAATTGCCGGGGGCTGCGTGGGAAGCGGATTCGCGGGTGCAGGCGTGGCTTGAAGTGTAGCAGGTAGAGTTACTGTGGGTGCGGGAATTACTGGTGCTTGCATGGCAGTAGGGGCAGGGGTTGGGGGGGCTGGAGTGAACACAGGTTGAGCTGGTGACGAAATAGGGGTAGTGGTAGGGGCAGGGCCAGAGGGGCTTTAGTGATTGGTTGTTCCTCTAGAGTCGGTAGGGGCGGTAGAGTCGGTGGGGGAGGGGCATCAGGGGCTTTAGTGATGTCGGGGGTCTTTAGCGTTTGTACTGGAGAAGGAGTCAGCTCGGTTGGTAGAGGGGGACTTGCTGTTGGAACAAGGGGGTCAGGGAGAGGAGGAGCTGGAGTAAATGTAGGGGGACCTGGTGTTGGTCTTGGAGTGTCAGGGGCGGGAGGGGCCGGCGTCAGGGAAGGAGGAGTCGGCGGCTGGGCAGGAGGGGCGTTAGGGGGGTCGCCGGAGGTGGGTGTAATTGGAGTCGGATTCGTGATGGAAACCGAAGTGGCTGGTTCACTGGTGGGGCTTGAAGTTGGGCCTTGTAGCAAGCGCCGGGTTGCAGCTTGCACCAACTGGGAAGGTCCCGTCACAGGACCGTCCCAGAAGGGCTTCCCATGCAGTCTGTTCTGTGCCAGCATTCGTTCGAACAAAGAAACGGCTTCCAACCTGTCAAGCTCGCGTGCCATTTCCATCAACGGAAGGGCCTGCTCAGAACCCACTGATACTATGGCTGTGCGTGGTGGAGCTTGCAAGTGCCTGCGAGCAGATCGAGGGGGACAAAGTGAGGTGAAAGTGTCATTTTATAAGTGGTTCATATGCTGGACGAATACACCTCTGTTGCCTACTTTTGCCCAAATATTCACGAGCATGGAGTTCTGCAAGAGATGCATGAAGAGCCTCTATCATGTTGCCAAATCTCGCTTGAGCAGTGTACATGTATGTCCTTGCATATTGTTGCAAACTACGGAACTCTTTCATTGTGTCTAGCACAGAAAGTCAACTCACCAGCATGGCTCCCCTTGAACTGGCTGACAGCCCACATGTGGGCACACCAATCTGCAAAACAGCGGCAAATGGGTTTGACAACCTCTTCCAGCAACCAGTCCTGTCATGCAGATTGTCATATGCTTCTCTTGACACAGCTTGAGTTTGGTGATTGTCATATGCTATTCTTCACACAGCTTGAGCTACATGATATGAGAACACCACATTTGAGTTTTTCGTGGGCTTCGCATCATGATCCTGAGCATCGCCACTGGGTTCACACTGTTGCCAACAGTACTTCATAGACTTCCCGCCGCAACCCTGCATGGGCTGCTTAACATTCTACTGGCCATCCACCAAATGACCAGACCATGTTGAACTTCTAATGGCATTGCCTATCTGTGTAGAGGTAAAACACGTTTCACTTGCTTTTTACTTGCAAGTGAAAAGCAAGTGAAACAATGTTAATGTGGTTGAGACGCTGGGACACTCAAAGCCACGTGCCATCCCATCACCTGAATCTGCTCTCAAGGTCACCGCTCAGGCCCTCCAGCATGGAGAAAGGGACAAGCGCAACCTCCTCAGAAAGCCCTTCCAGACAGTCCATGCTTTGGCAGACTGTAACACGGTCTTCTACCACAGACGTTGGTGTTAACCTTCCTTGGCAAAGGTCTTTGGTTCCAACCATGGTCTACTTTTGACCGGACCCTACAAACCCTCGACTCTGCAGCTCCCCATGATACATGTCCACTAGAGCCAGCCCCCTAAGCAGCTCTAGCTGGGGTCCAGGTGGGGCCATTGTCAGATCAACGCTGCCCTCCGAGAGAGAAGCGAGGCACGCAGCAAAGTCCAGCATGTTAACGCTGCATGATGGAATAATATGTGTCAGATAAGAGGAGGCCTCTTGCAGATTGACAGGACGGGAACACGGACTGCAGACATACTGAGTTCTGGTGCCAGAAAGGTAGCACATGAATGATATCCAACCAGACTTGAACAATTTTCTACCTGCACCCTGAGTCAAAACAAGCGATGACAGCAGGTCACAGTGTGCACGTCTCATTCAAGTTACCAGGAACACAATGGAAGCCTTGTCATCTTCAAGATGACGCATACTTGATGAATATGCAAGGGCATCCAGCAAGGCAGACACACTCCTCGAGACAGGGCTGTGGCGGAAGTCACAGGCCTTGGAGGTCGCAACGTTTTTGTCTCTTGATGGTCTCACCATTGTAAATTCGATCCATGAGTTCCCCATGTGCTTGCGGCCCTGGCCAGCACCTTGCACTGCTGCTGACCAGCTTCAGAGTACACACACCATTGCCAACCTAAAATAGAGACAGAAAAACTTCAGCTTTGGACGGAGTTGAGCATCATGCATGACCATAACAAACAGCAGAGCTGAACCTTGAAAGCTGCATAGACTAGGAAAAGCACTCTTGCTCCGCATTTCGAGCAGCACGTCACCATGCAGCCTTGACACAACATGCAGGACAGAGATGCTCACATGGCATGCTCAAATGATAGACAACCACTCACCCTCTTCTTTGCTTCCCCGGATGGTGATGCCCAACAAGAACAGTTGCAACAATATTACCAGCTGTGCCTGCCATCTTTGGCCAGCTAGGCTGTCCCTTCGCATCATGCTGCCTGCTTGAGGATTTCAAAGACTTGATGGTTCTGCCTTTAGGCATTCTTCAGGGCCATGTTCCGACGTCGCCCGTTAATAAAGTCCACATTGAGACGTTTGGAAACTCTAATGGTGGTCAATGTCCAGCATTGCACTCACCCGTCTCGCATGCTCGTTCCCGAGCAGAATATCCGAGCGGGGAGAACTCCCTTTACCCAATGATCATCAGCAGCCCGAACTTCGCTCCGGTTATCCGGGACAAATTGTGTACCTGTTCTCTATTTTAACACTGTCGGCAGCCCTTCAAGGTTACATTGATGCTGTTCGACACGAGCAACTTCGCGTTAGTCCTAGCTGACGGGATTGCCACTCGGCCGCCGAGGCGCCGGCCGGCTCAAGCCGGTGACAGATTGCTCATGTCTGGAGTCT